TCAGGGCCTGCAAACGGAAGCCATAACAACCCAAGTGTAATTATAAGCTGGAACAACACGTGCTAGTGTTAATACAAGCTCATTTGGGTATTAAATTAGAAGAGCTCCACAGACAGGGGATCATCAGCTCACAGATCCCCCCTCAAGGGAACTGTTCCTAGAGAAGCAGAAGGAGATACGGGGATGGTGATGCTCCCTCCTCCATCACGGAGGGTTTGCAGCACTGCCGGGGCGGTGGCTGCTGGAGCACCTCTGGCTCTGTAGGAGGGAGCACCGTGCCACACGGGCCCTTTTGGGGAGAGCCCAGCTACCCACGTCAGCTCTCCATCTGCCCACTCACCATCTGCATTTTGGCATCATCCAGGCTGGCACGCTGCGTCCCTCCGCCCCAGCACACGTGGTCCTTGGGGTTTGTAGCAGCCACGTTACCAATTCTTCCATTGCTCCTTGCTGTGAGAACCCGTGGCAGAAGCGGGATAATCTCTCTCTTTCATCATCTGTACTTTGAATGCCATTATTGGAAAGCATTTTTGCAATCCTCTTTACACAAAAAATTGGGCAAGCAGAGTACATCCCCCATGCTCACCAGCTGCTTTCACAGGAAAGTGGTTCCAGCCAGCAAGGGCAGAGGTCAGGTGTACAGAGAAAACATGGGGAAAATCACATGCAAACCTATTCCTTATCAAAGTTTTATTAAAACAGTTAAAAAAAAAAAAAATTACTTTGCACAGCCTTTCCCCACCAGAGATTGCAAAAATAAATAAAATGAGGCCCACGGCAGCTTGCCACAGTTCTTGCAGAATGGAGTGGAAAATTGGTTTGCTAATGTATAGAAAAACCTGCCTGACCCGTTGCCAGAGCTGTACCCCTTCTTCCCCACTTATTTACTCTGGAAAAAGTCACCGAGTACTTTGTGTGCAGCTGAGGTGAGAACGGAGCCCAAAGGTCCGGCAGGAGACAGAGACACGTTTCAGACCCCAGTACAGTAACTCCGCCACGGGTTAGTACACGCGCCTTGATTAAGAGAGAAAAAAAAAAACCTGAAAAGTGGCTCACTAATATTAAGACCCTACCCGCAATCTTTGAAAATTGTTCATATTTCCCAGTGCTTACGCTGATTTTGAAACGAGTGGGTTCCTAAACGCGCTGTGCGTGGGAGCGCAGCCCAGCAACGCCGAGGCTGAGGGTCGGGTTTGCTGGGTGTGATGTTTCACTGGCAAAGCTCTACTGAAAGAATATTTCCAGTCTGTGCTGCAAAATGAGATAGCGTAAGCTGGCCTCAGCTCAGGCATCGCTATTTCCATCGCAAGTCGAAGACAAGCGCTTAGAGAAGAGAGCATTATATGGATCAAGCTAAAACTCACGACAGCCGGCTGTCTGGGGATTTCCCGAGTTAGCCATCACACCTGGGCCAGCGTGTACGGCAGCCTCGGTGATTTCATTTAATCTCTTTTTATCCCAGCTAAGACTTTTGGTCTCTGCAGCATCCTATGGCAGTGCCTCCTGCAGTTTAGATATGCGAAAGGGCCCTTCCTTTCATTTGTATTTGCTGCCTGATAATTTTACCGGGAACCCGCTGATTCTGGCATCATTACAAAACAGTGATTCAGGCCTTTATATTCACCTTCATCATTTTACATTTATACTCCCCACACCAGTGGTTTCTCTTCCAAACTGAAGCGCCTTGGTCTCCATAGGCACTTGGCTGCTCTACAAAGTTTTTTCCTGGACGTCTCACAAACGGTGGTCCTTCCACCGTCCCAACTGCCTGCCACACTTGGGACAACCCGTGAAGCGGTATTCCCTGTCTTCCTTTTGTCGGATCCTCCCGCAGGGACATCCTCTTTTCCCTTTCCTTCCTGTCCTTTTCCCAGTGCCTGTTTGCCCTCTCCGTTGGGTGCCCTGCCCAGACCCCACGCTGTCTTCCCTTACCAAGGCAGAAGTGAGAGGGAACATTATGAGTGTTGATGGGTGTAGAGGTTTACGATTACCAACGTCAACCCACAGGTCGTATAAACAAATTGTTTGTGGCCTACTTCTCACTTAAGGTACTTCTATCCTTAAAAAAAGAAATCTTCAAATTTAGTGATGAATGATATATGACCATGTACCTGCTATTATGTCTGAGTTAGCCACATAATAATTCTTAATCTAGGTAGGTCACACGTGCCAACTCAACCTAGGAAGAGCCCACGTGAAGGTCTGTGGTCCAAGGCTGTGAGCAGCGTGATTTGTTATCCCTCCTCCATGACTCATCACAAGAACATCATCACAGGAGTGTGTCCGGCCCTTCTGAGTTCAGATCTCACAGCAAAATTAGGGAAAGCTGGAAAACAAATTGAACAAAACAAAATAAAATATTTACTATTGTCTCTGCACAAAGTGCTGAATTTTATACAGCTTTTCCCAGAACAACCTGGATCAATGAAAACACTTTTCGACAGAGTGGAGCCGCGATGTTCTTCAGCGAAAGAACAGCCGCCTGGCCGAGCAATTGAAATTCTAGCTTGGACAAAATAATTTTCTCATTCAAGACCGAATTACATGCTGCGGGCTGTAGGGTTAGTGTTCCTCTGCCAGGGTTAAAATTTCTGGAGCCTATTTGAGAGCGTTCACATGAAGAAGTGCTAGCAGCACCATCACCAAAAATCATTTTCGTGGGGCAGGGGAGTGCTTCCCCATCGGCACTTCAGAAGAGCTCTGATCCCTTTGAGCGTGGCTGTGAGGGAACCGGTAACGGCAGCACCAGTGTTTTTCCACCCCTCTTTTCTCCCTCTCAGCACCGACCATGAATAACAAGCAGGAAAAACAGAGGCAGGGTTTGAAGAGAAATGAGGGCAGTGGCGGGGGGGGAAAGGAGGGAGGGCCCCGCTTATGCAAGAGCAGGTATAAAAAGGGGGAGCCGAGTGCCCCTCCAAAATTGGGAAGAGTGGGGCAAAAGGAGAGCGCGAACCTCTTCGCTGAAGAGCAGGTTTGAGAGGTCTGTGTTTCTTTGTACCTTTACTGCGGCTGTTGCAGGGAGAGATTCGTTAGGAAACGTGCGTGGGCCCTGGGCTTGCTTTGCACAGGGGATGCCTGTAGGAACAGCCTTGCTTTCACCTTCTTCGGTTCCCGGTTGCCGGCAAACTTCTCGCCCAAGTTTGGCCCAATGCAGGTTTTCTGGCTCAGCTCTCTTCAGGGAGCCAAATCCTCGGATGCTGGAGCCAAAGGGCAGGATAGAGACTCTCTTCTTTCCAAAGTTGAAGCTCTATCTTAACGCTCGTTCCTAAAACCATGGCAACCCAACAAAAAAAAGCCTGACAACAGGGTCCGCATAGAGTAATTGGAATAATGCTCGTGCACTCCCGCTTAAAAATGGCTCAAAAGTCAAATGAAAGACTAACTGTAATTAAGTCCTACTAGGGTAAAATATATTCCAGGTGTAGCAGTCTATGTTCTTCATAGTCTGAAAGCTTCTCCTTTAGCAGAAACTGTGAGAAGATTAAAGACAAAGATCTAAGAAGTGTGCTAGTGCCTGATGCATCTCAATAGGGGAATATTAACGGAGTGAGCATAAGTGACCGGCAAATTAGGGGGGAATTGTGTCTGAGCTTTGTAGTAGGGCATGAATGTAAGGTGAAATCAAAGGTTCTCCCTCATTCCTGAGGCCAGGCAAATTCCCGGTGGTCCGAAGCAGGAGGAGCACTACGGTGAAAGTGGGTCATGGAACAGTTTCTGGTGAAACTTTTTTTCTGGAGAAAGCTGGGTATTCTAATTTGATGACTTTATTGATTGGAGGGGGGCGGGAAGAAAGACTCCTGCACTCCTCAAAGACATTGACAATTTTTTGTCACCAGGAAACAATAGAACTGAGTGCACAAACACCAAAAAAGCCCCAAAGGTCAACTTAGCTGGAAACCCTGGGAACTTTAAACTACAAACTGAACTTTCTTTAGTGACAGAGCCACCAAAACACCACATTGGAGTTATCGTTTGGGTGCCTCCTGCTCCCCCTCTTCTGCGGGGCAGCATCGCCTGCAGCCAGGGATGCCCGACGTGGGGCTGGTACCTATAGCAAAAGGAGACGGCCAGCTGCGGCATGACTCGGTCATGGCCCACAGGGGAGCTGGAAGCAGGAGACAACCAAACAACAAGGGCCTCCGGGTGCTACAGCACAGAGGCATAATGATTTAAGGAAAAAAAAAAATACAGTGGCTGCAGGTTATGTGGTTTCCCCTTCCAGTGTTTATTGTCCACAGCAAACACGTAAGTCTGGCGGTTGTAGTATATGTTATTAGCATCACTTGTAGCTTATTAGCCAAAGTCAATAATTCCTGTTAATAAGGAGGCTTTTCAGAGTTTTACAGAACACAAGGTGCCCTTCACTGAAACAGCCTTGGTTTCCGTGTCCTCGATACTGAGAGTACCAGGCTGGGTTTGTTGTTTCCCTGCGTTCAAGCCTTGCCCAGGAGGACGTAGTGGAGCAGCTACAGCTCACTGGCACGGCGTGGTCGGGCTGCCGGTGCCCACCGCTGGTGTCTGAAATGGACCCAGGTGGGTGGGGGTGCAGGAGATCCAGATTTGGGCTGTGCCATCACTCCCCTCACCGCACCCCCACCGGCCTCTAAGGGACCAGCTTTTGCCCCCAGCTCTGCCTGCGGGAAGGAGTCTCCGGGGGAGAGGGGAAAGAGGGGGGGCATTGCAAGCCAAAACCTAGCTTGTTCTCTCAGCATTTAGCAGAACAAAATGCATTTTTAACGGAGGAACTACTTTTCCCGTTGCCTGTATCCATGGCTGGGCTGCATCCATTTTATAGCTGTCTGGAGATGGTACAAATGCTCAGCGACTGTTCTGTTGCCAGAAGCTTCCTCGACTGAGATGCTCAGGCAGCAAGAGGACAAAACACCTGAAATATTTCAAGCTGTTTGTTTAAGCCTCATGTGCCTGGTAGCATGTCCTATGGGCCTGTGCTCAGACCTGCTTTCAGACCTCATTAGAGCTAAGGTAATCAGATTGTTTAAATGAAAAGCAGGGCTGCAGAGACAGAAATTTCCCATCCCTTTGGTGTTACAGAGCACTCGGGCTGGTAGGACTCGGTTGTCCCTGTCTCCACCTTCAGCTCCATCAGCTCCGACTGCCCAGGTCCACTGAAACCATCCCTCTCTCTCGGCTCTCTCCTTGAACCCAACATGTAACTGGGCACCGCACCGCAACCCACGCCTGACTGGCCCTCTAAAATCAGGGCAGGGATGTTAAATCAGCCCTACTGCCGTTAGAGCCGTGGGATTTTAATTAATGACTAAAACAAGGGTGCCGAATGAGACCCAGTCTAACCCAACTGCATCACCCCTGTTTTGATTCACTGGTTTTTTGCTGAAAAAGGAAGAAGGGGCACACCAAAACTGGAGGACCATTTCAAAACCAGCAGAAAGATCTCCAGATCCCACCCCTTTTGCTAAATAGGACTTGGAAAGCTGAGAGTGGGAGGGATGAAGTCTCTGTGATCTGGCTCTGGCAACTTCATCCACCTAGCTTTCACCCTCTCCTTTTCAAGACATTTTGTTACAAAGAGGAAAAAGAACAAACTTTTTGATGTTCTGGATAGATCAAGAGGGAAAGAAAGGGTGAAAAGCGAGAGATGAATCATTTTACTCTGCAGTAGCATACGTGTCCTATTCACTGATGGGTACCCAGGCTGCAAGGTAGAGATTAAAAGCAATTTACCCATGAAGAAAAAAATCTGGTCCGACTGTGCAACAAATACCGGAACAAAAAAATCCGCATTCCTTTCAGTCTGGCACAAAACGAGCTGAGTTATTTTCAGCTCCTACAATGGGTCTTTTGCATAGTAAAACACTTGTGCCCATCTTAGTAAATGTGTAACTGCAGGCTACACAGATGTGCTGGGTCCGGTTAAAGGTTGTCTCTCCATCCCTGGAACTTTCTATGCAGCTGGTGTTAAGCCTTGCTCAGGTTTCATCGGGTCCCGCCTGCCCTAAGCTACCTTTTTTGAGCCCCCCCCAGCCTGTGATGTAAAGTCGCTTTGCGCAATGCCACCGCAGACACGTAGAAAGGGCCCTGCCGTGGAAAGGGCATAAATCCACCCGCAATCACACCGTCCCGCTCCTGGGGTAAGAGGTGTTGGAGGAGCTTGCCCGAGGGGGGACGGCGTCGGAGGGGTAGCACACACCGGGACAGACACAAGTAAGCAGACTTACTGGATTTGCTTTAAATGCTGGTTTTTTCAACTCAGGTTTTCATGCTTTTCTGAAAGGCTCCAGGCTGACTTCTTTAGGGAAATAAAACACGCTGGCTTTCCATGGATGGGGCTTAGTGTAAGTGCTGGTGGTGAGAACTGCTCCTCTTGCTTCTGTTTGTGAGAAAAGAGCTGCCGTGGTGGCTCTGGCACCCGTAGAGAACGAACCTGATGGCACAGCCCGAGTGGGTGGCACAGAGCCATCCTCCCTGCTGCTACGGGAAAGATTAAGAAATGCTTCAAAAGAATTGTACGATGGAGAGAACAGCGTGGGAAGGGCAGTGCCTCTAATTTCTGGCTTTTTGGTTTGTTTTCCTGAGCTGTCCCAATCTGGAAAACGCAGTGAGTAGTGTAGAAACGCAGTAGGCCAGCGGCTCGGCTAACTGTGAAGATGAAGTTGGGAAGGCACCTCCCAAGATAATTTTTTAACTGGTCATAAGCAATGAAGAAGCTCTGTCCTGCATGTCACCTGCTGCCGGTGGGGCTGGGGGGGTGAAGACAGGGAGGGAGCGGAGGGGCTGCCGCTGCCTACACGCTCCTTTAGAGGATGGGGTGGGAGGTGATGGGGAAGAGCAGTCCTTGGATGAAGGCAGAGGGCTGGAGATCTACAGCAGATCCTCCCCTCCATGCCTCTGGGGAGCAAATAGCTTCAGGCACCAGCTAGGAAGATGCTCAGAGGTCCCAAGGGACCATCGCAACAGCAGAAACTCCATTTGCAAAAACCAAGCTGTTAGATGAGAGCCTGCAGCCTGGGAATGTAGATGTGGATGTTAGCAGGCATACGTACTTAGCAAGGTACGGTTAATTACCAAGCATCTGCGCATCGCAGTTTTTGTATTTGCAAGAGAGTGGTGACACTGCAAACCAGAGTATTATTAGGCATGAAACACTTGGGCATTCCTCAGTGAAATGGTTATACATTGTAACGTATGGATTTAAACTGACATTTCCACCCTGTGTAAATTAAAGTGTTGGCGAGACAGACATTGAACTGTGTCCTCTCAAAAGTCTCAGGCTACCAGAATTACAATACCTGACAGGCTGGTGCGACTCAAAAAATCTTGGGGAAAGAAGGCAGAGAGCAGAGTAAGGTTATTGGCAAGGCTGTTAGCATTTTGCCCATCCAACGAGCTCTGCAGAGTTTGGAAAGGGCAAAAGAGGGTGAACAGAGCTACAGCAAACAAGAAATGACTAGTAGAGTTAAAATACAGCTCTGAATAACAGTGTTCTGGCCAATGATAAGTGTTATAGATGCATAATTTCCAGCGCAGTTGGATTTCAAATACACAAATTCAGAGTTGTATACTAGAAACCCAGGGAAGGCACAGCAGAGCTACTAGTTATCCAAAAATCGGATATAGGAAAAGTGAGAATTATAAAAATGCTAAATGCGTCAGCGTGTTTGCACGTGTGTGTGTATGTGTGTGTGTATGTGTGCCCCTGCCTTTCTCATCCCCAACACGCAGCCGGATCCTTTGTGCTGAAACACCAGTGACATCCACATCCAGGCAAATTCTCTACTCCTCTTCAGGAAAAACAAGAGCAGCGCAGAGCCTTTTACTGCAGGAGAAGACTGCCTGTACAGTAGAGTAAAACTCAGCTTACCCCTTCTAACTCTGTATTCAGATAAAGGGGCTGTGAAAATGATTTCAGTGTTAGCACGTTTGTATAAGAAGCCTTGAGTGCATTAGCCTAAAAGCTAGAATGAATGTTGGCACCGGGCTTTGAAAACACCAAAGGCTCTGCTAGTGGCGAGTATCACGCTGCCTAGACACACAACGCGGGACTGCTCAGCGGTCGGACCTTAAGAAACCCGGTCTCCAAACCCACCTCCCGTGTAACAGCAGGCAAATCACTTGGCCCATCCCTGTGTCGGCAAGATTTAGCGCAGCTTTGCAGAGACAGCTCTGACCGGGTGCCAGGAGCAATACAGTTGCGTTATTATAATGTTTTGCCAGAACTAGCACACTCCAGTTTGCAAGTCTAACTGGTCAGCGTGCAAACCCATATTGCTTGCTGTGCTAAATCGTTAGGGTACTGCAGCGGGTAATGGAGACAAACCCATGCTTAGCGTTTCCCCACCTGCCACCATTGAAACCGGTGGGCATCTCACCCTGGGCTTTTCCGGGGGCAGA